CTGGCAACCACAGTCAGCTGCTGCTGCACCACAGTCACTGCTGCTGCTGCACCATAGTCCAGCTGGCTGCTGCAGCTGCGCCACGTCAGCTGCTGCTGCTGCTGCACCACAGTCCAGCTGCTGCTGCTTCACCAGTCAGCTGCAGCTGCCACCAACAGCTCTGCTGACCACAGTCATCTGCTGCTGCTTGCTGCTTGCTGCGCTTGCGCTGGCTGTGCTGCTGCACCACGTCACTGCTGCAGCGCGCACGCATCAGCTGCTGCTGCAGCGCACCACAGTCAGCTGCGCTGTCTGCAACCACAGTCAGCTGCTGCGCACAACAGTCATGCTGCTGCTGCTGCACCACAGTCAGCTGCTGCTGCTGCAAACCACAGTCCAGCTGTTGTCCATTTGGGTTTTTCGATAGATACGTGGATATGGGTAGAAATACTCACGTAGGCTGGTAGTACGTATAATATAAACGGAAAAGTTGGTACAATGCCAACAGCCGTCCCTGCCTCTTCTCATGCTCCCTACCTGACTGACCCATGAGTGCGCTACGGGTGAGGATGTTTGGAAATCCTGCTATGTCAGCGAGCAATATGAATACAGCAATGATTCACACAGACCGGTTGTTAGAGATCCATCTACTGGTACACTGGTACTGGTAACTGTTACTAGGAACTGAGTACTAACTACTATAGCTTCGCGACGAACGCTAACGTAGTCATCCCCGACATACAACTAATATCTACAAACCAGAGATGGCAGGTGTACGGCTTGGGCTGGATTCTATACATGTCAAGGTACACAACAATGAACATTATAACATACATAAGTAGAATATTGAATGGAAGCTTACATAAGTGAAACGTAATCAATACAAGGATATAATATAGCACAACTCATCGAATGAAAACTCAACGTGAGATTACACAATAGAAGTTTTATAAAAAAAATTTGATCGATCGATCTGTATTCAATGTGAACTACGGATTCTGAGGAAGGAATATATACAAAGAAAGAAGTGTTTAACAAGAAAGGCAGATTCGTGTGCACTCAAATCTAGACTGTTAATTCTCAGAATTCGGAGAGAACGTTAACAGAAAAAAAATTTCTTGAATACTGAATAAGTTGATACTGTTATTATTCATCTATACAGGTTATTTACATTAACCCCAACTCTGCTAGGGTGAGATTGATATATGCAGAATGGTGGTCATCTCTGGGAGTGAACAAACTCTGTTCACTGGCTAACTCATGCTGTATCTGAGGCAAATCTTAAATTGGTAGTTTACAAATTGATACTTGAGGATTTTCTCAATACCTGTCGTGTACGTAGGGAATAACGACATTCAGTATCGTCTGACTGAGTATCAAGGTAGAGAGTACAGATCAGAGGAATGGTCCAGAGTCTGTCACATTAGTCTGGGTTGGGGAAAATCATTAATCATCACAAACTAAGCTTCGTTGATCTAAATGCGATTCTTATACTGACCCAGTACTAATTTCTCTAACCTTATACTGTATTACCAGAGATATGTTCAACTACTCGATAAGGACCAACAAACTTTTGATCAAGCTTAGGCACTGCGCACCACAGTCAGCTGCTGCTGCTGCTGCACCACAGTCAGCTGTGCTGCTGCACCACAGTCAGCTGCTGCTGCTGCAAACACCCACAGTCAGCTGCTGCTGCTGCACCACAGTCCCGCTGCTGGCTGCTGCTGCACCACAGTCAGCTGCTGCGCTGCACCACAGTCAGCCTGCTGCTGCTGCTGCTGCTGCACCACAGTCAGCTGCTGCTGCGTGCTGCTGCTGCACCACAGTCAGCTGCTGCAAGCTTGCACCATAGTCAGCTGGCTGCTTGCTGCTGCAAACCACCACAGTCAGCTTGCTGGCTCTTTCTGCTGCACCACAGTCAGCTGCTGCTGCGCACCACAGTCAGCTGCTGGCTGCTGCACACAGTCAGCTGCATGCCTGCTGCCCCACAGTCAAAGCTGCTGCTGCTGCACCACAAGTCGGCTGCTACTGCAGCACCACAGTCAGTGCTGCACTGCAGCCACGTCAGGTCAAGCTGCTTGCTGCTGCACCACAGTCAGCTGCTGCTGCTGCACCAACATCATCTGCTGGCTGCTTGCACCACATCAGCTGCTGCGCGCACCACAGTCCAGCTGCTGCTGTGCAACCACAGTCATGCGCTGCTCACCACAGCCAGCTGCTGGCTGCACGCACAGTCAGTCTGCTTGCACCAGTCAGCTGCTGCTGCAGCTGACACACAGATCAGCTCTGCTGCTGCACCACAGTCAGCCTGGCTGCTGCTGCAGCCAGTCAGCTGCTGCTGCTGCCACCACAGTCAGCTTGCTGCTTGCACCAGTCAGCTGCTGCAGCAACCAGTCAGGCTGCTGCCGCACCAGTCAGCTGCTGCTGGGCTGTACCACGATCAGCTGCTTGCTGTACCACGATCAGCTGCTTCAGTACCGACGATTCAAGCTGCTGCTGTACTGACCGCGATCAGCTGCTGCCTGTACTATACCGTCACCTGCTGCTGTACCACCGTCGACCTGCTGCTGTATGCCCACCGTCACCTGCTGCTGTACCGTCACCTGCTGCGAGTATACCACCGTCACCTCTGCTGTACCTACCGTCACCTGCAGCTGCTGCTTGTAACCACTGTCCAGCCTGCTGCTGCTGCTTCTGCTGCAACCATGGTCACTGTAACTACTCGAAGATGTGGAAGAGACTGTTGTTGGTGTGGCTTATCAGAATACCGAGAAACAATTAACCCCAAGGGTTAGCCACCCAGGATAACCAAAGAAAGTCATGGTCCATCGAGGAATTGTCTAACCATATTTCCATTGGGGTCCTTAATCTTGCCCCCGAGGATGCAACCCACACCAGTCGACTAACACCCAGGCGAACAGGAAAAAATGCCTGGAACTAGTGCTCATATTGGTGAATTTAAGGCCAGTTAAGGTTGGTTTGAGAGATTTAAGAATCGTAGTGGCATACACAGTGTGGTAAGGCCTGTTCTGGAAGAAAATGCCAAACAGGACCTACATTACTCAGGAGGAAAGGGCACACCCAGAACACAGTGTCTCATCACCACATCTTCAATCAAGGTAAGTGTCATTTATTCTTCATTTAGTACACTAGTACATGCACAATATATATTGTGCATGTATCCTTTTTGTGTGTAGGAAAATGTATATTTCATGTGGTAAAACAATTTTTTTCATACTTTTGGGTGTCTTGAACGGATTAATTTGATTTCCATTATTTCTTATGGGGAAAATTAATTCGACTTATGATAATTTCGTCTTACGATATGCTCTCTGGAACGGATTAATAATATAATAAGTCAGGGGTCCACTGTATTTTGGGGTTTGAGTTTGGAGGTATGTATAATACATCTTTCAGAATAGATTAATATCGCAACTCGAAGGACCACCATACTTGCAAATGTAATTCTGCCATTTACAATCGCTGTAAATATTCAAACAATTTATTTGATATATGTACAGTACAGTAAATGTTTTTAAGCTGTCCTTTCTACCAAAGGCATTCAACTGTATGTTCATCTTATGCCTATACCCAGTTTAAGAGGTTTTTTCTACCCTTGCACCCAGGTCTAGTTGTAAATGTTGGCAGCCCACTGGCCCACATAACAGCCTGGTTGATCTGGCACTTGTGGAGGTAGTGGTCCAGTTTCCTCTTTAAAACTTCACTTATTCTGGCAATATTTCTAGTAACTGCCAATAGTAGTCTCAGTAGTCTTCAACCATAGATGTTAGCACACAGTACCCCCATTGTCCATTGCATCTATTGTACACTTCCTCCCACATCTCCATCCAGTTAGATGCTATGATAGTGTGTAAATTTGGGACTAGGCTCTCAAGTAGTCTATATTATCAGTCTACAATATCAGTCCCTATCAATTCAGGTAACTTCTGAAATTGCCACCGAAAATTGTATAAGAACACCTAAACACATGGTTCTAGCTATTGTTGCTCTATGACCACAGCAACTGAAAAATGCCTGGTTTTCATTATAATGTTGCACAAGCCAAAAATCACCTTATTTTAAGGCCTGTTTTCTCCAGAAAATATATATCCTATAGTTTAGAATCTGCTTTTTCTAATGGAGGTTTTTTTTTAATTGGTTGTGCTGCATGTTTGCTATTGGTCTTCAAAAATGACCTAAATTTCACCAGGAGGTCTGTGAGGGCATTTTTAGGTACCACTAGCACAAGAACTAAAAACAATTGGAATCTGATATTTTAGGACTGTGATGATGTCCATTGGGTAGCTGGCTACGATAATGTCATACTAAAATAATGTTTTCTTTTTGAGATATAAGCAGCTGAGTTAGATTCAATTTTACACAACAGAATTTTTTTTGCCTACTTTGGCTTCATTCTGTGAAAAAAAAAAAAAAGTAAAATTATGCAAGTTTTAGGTCTGCAATTTTTTAAATCGGCTCCAAAAGTTGTATAGGCATGTCTACTTACACAACTTTTTTCAAGATCTGCCACAGCAATAACCTGAACATTGTTGATTGTGGCTGCAGTGTGTGAAATTTACACCTGCTTCCACTATGAGGGGGCCATAGTATTACTACTATTGCATATCATGAACTAAAATTTTCCCAAAGTTATCTTGATATACATGCCAACTTTCACGTAAAATTTTCATTGAAATTGAAGATGGTTAGGTGGGGACGATTTTCAAAACTGGTCCACTTGACATGGAATGACCCTATTAATTAATTCTATGATCTGTGGTAAACCTACTGTGTGTGTTGTCAAAATATTGTAATTTAGTCTATGGGATAACTTGAACTTAGTTTACGGCACAACTTACTACTGTATGGCATGCCTGTGACCAGTTTTGAAAGTCTTCCTACTACAGCAGCCTAGCCTGGGACCAGACACTTCTGTTGTTCATCTGGTCAACCAGACTGTTGCTGTTGATGGCCTGCTAAAGGATCAGTGGTTGTCAGGTAACTGTTCTGATATAACTTACCATGCGGGTGGTTAATGAGCTGTAGGATTAGTGGTCGTCGTGTAACAATACCAGAACCACGAGGTAGAAAGTCCCTGAAACAAAACAAAAATTAAGAGATTTAGTATTCAAATGCACTTTTATAAACAATACACACCATATCTGTCTCAATTTACAATGTCCATATTATACTGTAGAAAAGCATCAAGTGTGTGATACTATATGATGCAACTTATAAATACACAAAAGGAATTTTGCAGTTTTAATGAAAATAAATTTGGTTTACTAAAATAGTAGAGTATCGGGTATACACTGTACATAGTGCAAACAATCTTATTTTTTACTAAGTTAGTGAGCCAGGGAAATAACTTCATAATATTATCCCAGAGAGAGTATTGTGGTGCTCTTTTCTACACAGTAATTTCTGAAATAATTTAAATTTAACAAGTCTACATATTCACTGTCCTATGTTCTAGAGCTTCTAAGATGAAATTAATTTTTTTCAACTGAAGCAGTTATGGTCAAGTAGCATGTAAAAAATATGGTTGAAAACAATGTTTCCTTTGAAAGCATTGTTAAATTTATTAGAAAATCCTAATGTACATACTTTTATCAACTGCAAAACTGTAGGTACAGTATACAGTGTTCATTATTGTACTATGTAACTAAACTGGTTACTTTTCATTTTGATGTCCTGACTCTGTTAAAATTAAAATTTTCACAAATACTGTACTGATACCAATACTTAGTTTTAAGCCGATATTAAAATTACCTGACATTATGTGATACCAATAAAGGTCTCCCTCAACATTCGCGCTTTTGACTTTCACTGGCTTCACACATTCGCGAAGTCCCAGCCACTAAATCATATTTAAGTTTCCCGCCACCTGCGCGTCCCTACTACCCTCCCTCCGACCCCCGCACCTGGCAGGCAGCCCACCCGCCACTCAGTGTGGTGAGCGTTTTGTTTGTTCATTATTTGCTATTAAACTAAACTACAGTACGTATAAATAATGTCAACCCATTCATGACTGCATATTGGTATGGCCATTTGGACAGGTATTGGACGGTGACATTTGTTTACTCTTGAACACGGCAAAGGTTCGAACATTTCTGCTACGGAGGAGGAGGAGGAGGAGGGAGGAGGAGGGAGGAGGAGGAGGGAGGAGGGAGAGGAGGAGGGGAGGGAGGAGGAGGGGAGGGGGAGGAGGAGGGAGGAGGAGGAGGGAGGAGGAGGAGGAGGAGGGAGGAGGAGGAGGAGGGAGGGAGGAGGAGGAGGAGGGAGGAGGAGGAGGAGGAGGAGGGAGGAGGAGGAGGAGGGAGGAGGAGGAGGAGGAGGGAGGAGGGAGGAGGAGGAGGGAGGAGGAGGAGGGGAGGAGGAGGAGGGAGGAGGAGGAGGGAGGGAGGAGGAGGAGGAGGAGGAGGAGGAGGGAGGAGGAGGAGGGAGGGAGGAGGAGGGAGGAGGAGGAAGGAGGAGGGAGGAGGGAGGAGGAAGGAGGAGGGAGGAGGAGGGAGGAGGGAGGAGGAAGGAGGAGGGAGGAGGGAGGAGGAGGAGGAGGAGGAGGAGGAGAGTGATCATTAGCCTCTGTGCTCTTCCAAACATTTCACAATAATTCATTGTGTTTGGTGCTTGTAGATTGAGTGTGACTGCTACATAATTAACCATGGGCCCAAAGAAACTTGCTAGTGCCAGTCCTTTGGTAAAGAAATTGAGAAGCACGATAGAATTGAAGAAAGAAATTGGTGGAGGCAGTGGTACTTAATAACATACATGTTATTAAACCATAACATGTATGTACAGTGGTCCCTCGTTTATCGTCATTAATCCGTTCCTGAAGTGCGACGATTATCAAGACGATTTTCTAATCAATTTTCCCCATAAGAAATAATGTAAATACAATTAATCCGTTCCTGGCACCCAGAAGTAATAAAACAAAATTTTTTTTACATTAAATATAGATGTAGTACATAAACAATACAATGGGACATGATGAATGAAACATTAACAGCATAACACTTACCTTTAATGGCAATTCTTCTTAGTGTATGGAAGACTGGAGGAGGAGAGAGATTGGATTAGTTACTGTTTGGAAGGGGAATCCCCTTCCATCAACACCTCAGGTACCAAGTCCTTTTCTGGGGTTACATACTTCTCTTCTCTGTTTCGTAATGCCACTAGGACCAGCTTGAGAGTCACTGGAGTCCTGTCTCGCAAAAAAGTGTCCAGAGAGCTCTGTTCTGGCATCTCTAAAACTTCCCTAAAATGGGCCAAGACCCTGTCACTGTACAAGTTGCCAATATGGCTTGCAACATCCTTCTCAGGGTGATGTTTCTCCATAAACCTTTCCATCCTACTCCACATTTCAAAAATCTCCTTAATTTCTGAAGAAGGCACCTTCTCCCATCTCTTTTCCTCCTCCTCTGCAGCAAGATTCTGAGCTGCAATCTGTTGCTGTTCCTGCTGAAGCTCTTGCAGCTCCTCAGTGGTTAGCTCTTCGTTGTGGTCCTCCACCAACTCTTCCACATCCTCCAAACTCACATCCAACCCCATGGAACTCCCCAATGCCACAACAGATTTCACAACTGACATAGGCTCATCAGGGTCAGCCACAAACCCTTCTAAATCCCTCTTGTGGACACAATCTGGCCACAATTTTCTCCAAGCAACAACAGCTTCCTTGATTTCCTTTTTCTTTGCCACGATGGAAGATATGGTTGTATGGGGTTTGTTATACATCCTGGCCAGTTCAGCCACACGTACGCCACTTTCGTATTGTTCAATAATGTTTTTCTTAAATTCAATTGTATTTCTCACCTTCGTTACCAAAAGCTTGGCACTAGGAGCTTTCTTTGGAGCCATGGTAGCTTTTTTAGCATTTGCAAGCACTAAAATGAATGGAATATTATGAAATATTTTGTATGAACAAGTGAGGGGACCGTCGCTCACTGGTAAACAATGGTACACTGCCTGGGAAGGGAGGCCAAGGCGGCTCAGAGCCATGAGTACGCGTCCAGGACGAACGATGATTAGCGAGTCAACCGACCATTTGCGAGCCAATGTTTGGACGAAAATAACGCAATGATTTCCGAAAAGGACGACTATGGAGCCCGACAATTATCGAGGGACCACTGTATACAGTACAATATTTTACGATGTTTTCAAGTATTTTATGACTGTTCATGGTTCAACAAATTAAGGAAGCAGTATTGTATTATATTTCCCTACAATATACAGTGGACCCCCGCATACCGTTGGCATCACATAACGATTAATCCGCATACCGCTTGCTTTAATCGCAAAAATTTTGCCTCGCATACCGCTTAAAAACCCGCTCACCGCTGTTCGTCCGAGACGCGTCCAATGTGCGCCTTAGCCAGCCTCACATGTTCCGCCGGTGGCATTGTTTACCAGCCAGCCTCCGCGGTAGCATCCAAGCATACAATCGTAACATTTCGTATTATTACAGTGTTTTTGGTGATTTTATCTGGAAAATAAGTGACCATGGGCCCCAAGAAAGCTTCTAGTGCCAACCCTACAGCAATAAGGGTGAGAATTACTATAGAGATGAAGAAAAAGATCATTGATAAGTATGAAAGTGGAGTGCGTGTCTCCGAGCTGGCCAGGTTGTATAATAAACCCCAATCAACCATCGCTACTATTGGTGGTACAGCTGCTGCTGCTGCTGCTGCTGCACTGTCAGCTGATGCTGCTGCTGCTATAGCATCATCTGCTGCTGCTGTAGCATCGTCTGCTGCTGCTGTAGCATCGTCTGCTGCTGCTGTAGCATCGTCTGCTGCTGCTGTAGCATCGTCTGCTGCTGCTGTAGCATCGTCTGCTGCTGCTGTAGCATCGTCTGCTGCTGCTGTAGCATCGTCTGCTGCTGCTGTAGCATCGTCTGCTGCTGCTGTAGCATCGTCTGCTGCTGCTGTAGCATCGTCTGCTGCTGCTGTTAGCATCGTCTGCTGCTGCTGTAGCATCGTCTGCTGCTGCTGTAGCATCGTCTGCTGCTGCTGTAGCATCGTCTGCTGCTGCTGTAGCATCGTCTGCTGCTGCTGTAGCATCGTCTGCTGCTGCTGTAGCATCGTCTGCTGCTGCTGTAGCACTGTTGTTGGTGTGGCTTATTGAGAATATACCAAGAAACAATTAACCCCAGAGGATTTGCCACCCAGGATAACCCAAAAAAGTCAGTGTCATCGAAGACTGTCTAACTTATTTCCATTGGGGTCCTTAATCTTGTCTCCCAGGATGCAACCCACACCAGTCGACTAACACCCAGGTGAACAGGGAAAAATGCCTGGAACTAGTGCTCATATTGGTGAATTTAAAGCCAGCAAAGGTTGGTTTGATAGATTTAAGAATCGTAGTGACATACACAGTGTGATAAGGCATGTTCTGGAAGAAAATACCAAACAGGACCTACAGTACTCAGGAGGAAAAGGCACTCCCAGGACACAGTGTCTCATCAGTCATTGCTGCATCTTCAATAAAGGTAAGTGTCATTTATTCTTCATTTAGTAGACTAGTACATGCACAATATATACTGTGCATGTACTACTCTACTATTGTGCATGTATCCTTCTCTGTGTGTAGGAAAATGTATATTTCACGTGGTAAAATTTTTTTTTTTCATACTTTTGGGTGTCTTGCACGGATTAATTTGATTTCCATTATTTCTTATGGGGAAAATTCATTCGCATACCGATTATTTCGCATACCAATGAGCCCTCTTGCACGGATTAAAATCGGTATGCGGGGGTCCACTGTATTGGGGCACCAAACGTTCACGATTTTTCAACATTCGTGAGGCTCTTGATCCCCTAACCCTCGCAAAAGTTGAGGGAGACCTATACTATTAACCCATAAATGGTCCAAACGTATATATATGTTCTCTCGCACAGTGCCCCAAATTTTTTGAGAAAAAACTTTTTTTTTTTTAATAGGAAATAAGAGCATATGGTACCCAGGCATCCCCAATTATTTTAATATGGTGCACAGTGAGTGCACACACCCATTCTCTCATGTCTAGGCGACTCAGGCTTATCGTGGCAATGTTGAATGTATGACAAATAAAATGTATATATACGTTTGGGGCAC